AAGTGGTGACACTGCCGATGGTGAAACACCTTGCATTTTTGGCATGTACACAGTATCGGGGCGGCACGAAGGCTGGAAGCCCAAGGACCCAAAGAGGGCCTTGCGGTACTGGCGTAGCAGACACCAGATGGCAAGGCAGGTGAAGCCGGACACAAGGGCTGTGTAAACGGCGAGGCTCACTCCGAAACACAGCAAGGCGTCCATGGCGGCGTTTGTTTCGAAATGAAACCGCAGGTTTGGGTCAAGGCTTGGAGCAAAACGGCCAACGCATAGTTCGATTCACCACATGCCCTAAACACAAGGGAAAAGAAACCCTAAGCGTAAGTGCGTTTCTGTTGCGGAGCTTTGTGGCTCGAAAAGCCTGATAAGTGCTTTCTAAGCGCAACGGTGACTCAGAGCAGAAGGTTGGTTGGGTTGGAATTCTCTTGGCCTCATTTGCTGCATGTGAGCCTTGGGTTGCGTCTCCGTCAATCCTGCGCCGGCAACAGGATTGCATTCTGGGTTGCTGGGTTGGGGCAGCCGCAGATAGCCACCTGGCCGCACGGTCACGTTGGACGTGGCAGCTGCAGCCGCCGCATGCAGCTCGGGGGCATGCTGCTGCCGTGCGAAGGAACTCCGAACAGTCGTTCAACTTGTTGCCACCGCACGCGCAACCCGCAGGAGTAGGGTGGACTAGCAGGCATTTGGTGCAGAATTCCCTGAGCCTGCTGATTGGGGCTTGATAGGCCCACCTGGAAGCCACTTGGCAGAGCACCAATGCTGAGGCCGGGCAAGATAGTACTCTAGCTTTCTGGAACCGAAGAAGGGCGAGTGCAGCACCGACACGTCGCCCAGCCAGGTGTGGAGCCAGCCACGACTTACTGCCCATAGACTTCAGCTGCATGCCGGCCTTGGCAAGACCGTGCCTGGCAGCAAAAAGAACGCCACCCAACTCAGCGTCCGAACAGGAATTGAGCCGCGCGGAGTAAGAAGCGGTCAGTTCCATGGCCAACGCCTTAGCCACTGGACTAAGGCGTCGGCAAAAACATATGTAAAGATGTTTGAAGGACCAGTCACCGGAGGTCCTGGACAACGGAGAGGTAACGGAAGGCACGCACGTACCGCAGGGCAGCTGGCCCTCGCTCTGACGCCCTACGCGCAAGTAACAGACCTGGCGGTGAACACGGCAGCCTCCGGCGACAACGCAGCAGCCATCCAGTCGCTGGACGGCCGGGTCCCGCAGAGCTGGCCTCAAGCTGGACAGCAGCGCACTGGCGCCGGCAATTGCACAGCAGCGGCCCTGGCCACCACGGACGGACAGGTGGCCGCGCACGGAAGCAGCATCGCCGCGCTGCAGAGCTCGCTGACCACTTTTTTTAATTCCCGCGTGCCACTGTCGCAGCGCCCACTTGGCCAGTTTAAACGAGCCAAGAAGGTTTCGGAAACCCCAGCCTCCAGCGCTATTCACGGTAGAGGCGAAAAACCCGAAGTCCTGTTAGGGAAACAGGGGAACCCCAAACAAACCAGCCACCAACGAACCAACCACCGCAAATCACACACGCAACCTGGGCACAGGCATGGAGTGAATGTTGCGGGCACCTTGCACAGCACTGATGAAGTCATGCATACTGTCAGGGCAGTCACGAGAAATGCGCATATTGATACCAGCCAGCTTGATAGGGCAACCAAAAGTGCGAGGGCTCGCACAAGAAGTCAACCTACCACATGGGACAACTGGCCCAACAAGCTTATCCAAGGCAAACATGTGTCTTTTAAAGCAGCGGAAATCTGCAAGAGCATTTCTGGGCACGAGCCTCACCTCCGGATTACGGCTTTCGTGGCACCAGAGTTTGTTTACCAGCAAAGGAGGGCGACACTGCATGTCGAAGGTTGCATGCCAGAAAATTTCAATCCATGATGTATCGGACAAGCTCGGCACGGATGTGTGCGGGACCCACTTCAAGGAAGCACACCAATCTGCCAACAAATGCATGTAATCAATCATGAGCCGTGGGCAACGGCCTTCCAAAACGGGAATATGGAAGGTAGTCCATGGCGGCAATCCCTGCAAAGACAAATAGTTCCAATCTTCACGTGCCGGTGCAGTTATTGCAGTTGCGATAGGCTCAGCAGTACTCGCATGTTTGGCCACATGCAGATGATACCGTACCAGCAAGTTGTAACTTCGAGCACACTGAATGGCTTCAGTGACAAATGTTTTGTGCGGATGAAAGGCTTCACGCCATTCATGCAGTGCTTTCTTAGCGGCAGCGTCAACAATGTCATTATAGAAAGCCTGCCACTGAGAAATACCAGAACAAGTACGCCAGTTTACATGTCCCTTAACCCAATGGACAGAGCTGTCAGGAGACAAACCTTTTGCCGCCCCGTAAATCATGCACCACAGGTCAACGTTTTGTCGGAAAACAGGACAGGGGCCGCCACGGTGAAGGTGATCAAGGATGGCCTGAGCTCCATCTACAAACACTCGACAGTCACTATACACCCTGACCCTGCTGGCAGCCGCGAAGGCAACGAAGCCGGCAAGCATTTCAGCACGAAGCACATTTTGATTGCTAGTAGGGAGTGCTAAAACAGTTCCCATGCGCCAAATTCACCTGGAGAGGAAAATGGTGGCACTTGGATAACGGCGGCTGCAGCTAATCGCATCCATGGTCGCTGAGGAAAACAAGCACTCGCATCGGTAAAAAGAATCCAAGGCTCAACAACATTCGTACGTGGTATGACAGGCCAAGGGACACCATCAAGGAAAGCCAGCATGTCAATCAAACTTTGTGGGATCTCAAGCAGACAATATAGCTTGGCAATGTTGGGCAATTGCGGCCACAGCTGAAAGAGCTCAGTGTGAGCCTCACGGACTTGCTCCAGGGCAGGGCAATGGGTAAAGCAATGCTCACATGAATCCCCTTGGCCACACAGCTTACAACGGTCATCAGGAGCCCAGTGGCGATACACATCGGCTGTGAAGCAGGCACCAACCTGCACTGCAAACAGGTATCCAAGATCCTCAACTGACAGAGTAGTATGCAGTGGCACAGACTGTATCCAGACACTCTGCAGATCTTGCAAGGATTTACGATGCGCAATCTTAGGCGCAATATAACAACCCCAAGCAAGTTCAAGGATTCTACGAATGTGTTTTGAGGTGGAGGTATTCAAATGCAGCTTCACTCCTTGCCACTGGAATGTATCCCGATAGCAGCGTACGAAACCAAGCTTAACAAGGTCCAAATGCAAGAGGGACCCCACACCGCACATCTTAGGATTTGGGGCGGCCAACGATTGCACAATCCGATCGGTAAACATTGGCACACGCCGGCAGAAATTACGAAAGAGTGCAACTTGGAATTCAGGGTCAAGACAACCAAAAGAAGTAGCAGCTCCAACCAGCCAGGGACTGGATCCCGGCAGGTTCTTCATAGCAGCAGCCATATCGGTTCTTAAGTTCGAAAAAACCGTTTTTCCAAGTTTCATGACTTCGGCACCATGCAAGGCTTGGGACCAAACCCCCTACTTGACGAGTCTGGAACGGAATCTCCTCCCAGTAGGCAGCCGTCGGATGCGGCGACACCTTCGTTTGCCTTCCAGGTAACGTTTGTTACGCAAAGCGACCTTTTTCTTGCGAGTATAGAGCATCTGCACTCCAAGATTAACTGCATCATGTTTGCAAGGAATCTTTTCACCTTGCCAAGTGATGGCAGCTACTTGTTTACGGGTGTGAGGCCCATATGCCCACGACCAGCATTTTTCAGGCGCAAAGATAAGGCGCATGGCTGAGGCGAATTGCTGAAGTCGAGCAACAGCCATTGCCACATGGCAGGGTCTATCCCCAATTATTTCCCAGTTATCGGCATAGCAACTGAAGAGAATTGGAGCGATGCTCATAGAATAGGATGCAGCAGACGACGTTACATACATTGCAAAAATGCTGAGAGGATCTCCTTCTGGGAAACCGGTGGACGAGACCTCAAAACCACCTACCCAGCCATTGATCAGCAAAGTCCTGCCCAAAGAACTCAAAGCACTTTTCCAAGCATGAAGGATCGGTGCAGGGAAACCAAAGTGTTCACACAGGGCGAAGACAATGGAACGACAAAGAAGATTAAAAGCTTTAACAATGTCAAAAACGCAGCCAGCGACCGGCCGCGCTGCCGCGCTTGCTTCCTGCAGGACCAAGCTGTTGAAGGTCCACATGACTGAAGTGGGCAACCTGGGAGAGACCATGGGCAACGAGAATTTTGAACTGTGATTAACCAGGTCAGCAGTCCGCATACGCGCCCATAGTCTGTACAAACCACTAAGGACAGTGATGGGTCGGTTTGATCCCATGACACCGAGCCTTCAGCTTTACGAAGCAAAACGACGAAGGCCTGCAGCAAAATAGGAGGCCACTGCCCACCATGTTCAATGGAATATGTCCAGTAAAGCTTGGCTCGCAGCATCAGACAACAGGCGGAGCTCAGCAATGGACCAAGCTTCAGCTCGCACAAGTCTTAGAACTACGCAAAGTTTTTCGCCATTCTTGGAGTGACAGTTCACGAAAAGGGCACTCACCCCATGAGGGGAGATTCTGTATAATTGCTTCCGCCTCGGGTGGCACATCAAGGAGAGGATCATCCCGTTTCCAAAAGGAGTTCCAACCCTGAAAGAAGTTAGCAGCAATGTCATCCGGGGTAGTAAAGGCACAGATTTTGCACAATTTACAAGCCCTGCTTTTAGGGATTGGGGAGGAAAGGACCAAGGCGTTACGGCGAATCTGCACAACAGACACGGTCTGCTGGTCAAGGATACCGAGGCAATCCCCAGCTTCAAAGTCACGCACATTGGAACATCGGATCACCGTCCTACCCAAATCAGGCCAATGTTGCGGCAGCAGTTTCAAAGGCACACGCGAAACAAGCTCTCTCACATCCATTTGAATGGAGTCCCAGATAACTGCAAATGCTAAACGACCACCTTTTGCGCTGAAGGAGGTGGCGACGGCTTCAGTGAAGTGCTTTCTACAGTCCTGGCGCACTTTAGCCGACAATGCAACGAGATGTTGGCACAAAAAATTCCTAATCAGTTCAAGATGCCCATGTTCAGGCAACACAAAAGGACAGAAGACCTGGGCTTCAGTTAACAACCACTCAGGAAAGTTGGGCTTAAAGCCGGGTGCAGTAAGTATGGCACGCCAGGTGCAGGAAATCTGAACATGATCAGGTGTGTCTTTGGACACCAACCTGCAAAGTGTCTGAAGTCTCCGGCACTGTCTCAACCTTTGCCTACAGACTAATGTGGGGGTATCACTGGGCAGTCGGAAGTCCCCGGGCCGACCAGCTTTAAGACGAGGCTCACACAAGGAAGTACGGACCGACTTGAAACCTCCACACCTGGACACGGCATTATTAGCAAGGTACTGCTTTTCTGATGATTCAGCAGCTCTAGACCACAAAGTAAGGGCAGAGTCGAGGTTACCTTGTTGAATGGCTGCGGCAACATCATCGTACGGATGCAAATCGGCAACAGTCTTGGTGTCAACGCAAATATTTACATCCACAGGGGAAATGCTAGCAGGTCGGACCAACTTGGTGCCCAATCTGACACGCTGAGGGACATCCAATTGAACAATAATCTAGCTCCAAGAAGGGCTCAACCAGCACGGTGGTCACAAGTGGAAGCAAGGCCGGATTACCTAACACAAAACTATGCCTGGAAGATTTTTTGCATGTATGCTGCGGCTGCAGCCCATGGCGTTCCTGCATCAGGACAGCCAAATCACGCCAGCCAGAATCCCATATACGCTGCAAGGATTGGAACCTGGATAAAGTATCGTTGAAATCTCCAGTGATCATACAGGGGCCTTCAAAGGTGGACACCAAGTCAACTGCTGCAGACAACAAGGTGTCATTGAAGGCAACAACATCAGTGCCACTCCCTGGGCGGCAATACACAGTCACCATACGAATCGGAAGGTGGCCAATCTGCAAAACACACGGCAGCACTCGGCACGAACGGCGAATGCACTCACTAACCAAATGCAAATTCGAGAAAACAGGGCAACGAGAAAGAACGGCAACCCCTGCAGATCTTCCACGCAGTGAGTCGGTGCCATCGTGTCGAGCAACACGATCAGGCACAGCCTCAGACACGGAAACATGCAATCCACACTTTTTGGCATCAGCAAAAATGGAGCGAAGGGCAGCTGCGGTGTGCGAGGTTTCGGACAACGCCCACGCATCAAGGTTCCATTCCGCCAAGAGGTGGACGTTATCATACAACTGGGTGGGATTCACAACCCCAACACGGAAGGGTTTAGGGACCCTCACTCACCTTGCAAACTTTTGCTTGGGATGTGATGAACAATTCCTTGAGCTCACTGAATCCGCTATCAACCTTGGCTTCAACACTACTGAGACGCTCACAATGCGTTCGCCAACTATCTTCGAGCTGGGATGTGATGAGGGCCGGCACTGCGTTGACCTTCTCAACCAACACTTCATGGGCACCAGACATTGCAACAAGCTTTTGCTCAATGGCCTCCAAACGGTTGTGATGGAGGGCAAGCTGGTCACGAGCCTCGGGCAGCTCATTCATGAATTCGGCTTTGAGCTCCTCAGCAACCTGTTGCTTGACCGCGTCAAGCCTGGTGTGCGAGCCACTGTCCCAGGCATCAGCGGTAGCCTCGGACGAACCAAAAGCCAGGGAGCTGGTGGTCTTCGACTCAGCTGCCGCGAACCTATGAGAAGCACCGGCTGCAAAGACCTTGGAATCAACAACAGCTGCAAGCTTCATAATGACGATCTCAGCGGGTCCATATGCGAAACTACGGCAAGGAGGGTCAGCATTGGATGCAACCTGCCAGGACTGCCATCCTTTGGAAGTAAGGGACCATACCTTCCAACCAAGCTGACGCAATGTACGGCGCACACCAGCTCTATCAAGCTTCTCAGGAAGGCCAAGCACAGTCCACAAAACAGCATCTTCGGGCGCTTCACTGTCAGTGGAATCATCGGGATTCAAGGCTTTCTTCGATGACTTGTAGCTAGCGGTTCTCACACGGATTCCAAGCAGTCCTTTACGCGACCTGGAAAGTCCGCAGGCAGACGGGCCAAGCTTGGTCTGCAGGGCGAGGACCTTCTCCAAAGGCAATGCAGGGAACGACATGACACGAAATCGAGGATCTACCCCTCGGTCCGGACCTTTCGGAGTCAAGTAAACACCAACTGCACCAGAGACACGCAGGGCTTCATCAAGGTGGCGGTCCTCGACACGAACGACACTGTGATAGTAATCCGCCTCCGCCTGGAAGAACCCTTGTAAAAGGAGGATGCCCACCAGACCAGTCTTTTGCAGGTAACAAGTCAAACCGTGGGCAAGGTCAGGCCAGTGAGCAACGACCTCGTCTCTGTGAACATGCACCATCAGGACAGTAGTCTCAAAGGCAGCGCAAGCAGTCAACCGTGCACTACAAGACGGCCACGTGAGCATGACATCACCGGTTTGCACAAGCGTGACACGAAAAGCTGCAGGCTTGTTGGCAGACCATCCGGGCACAAGTTGGTGCGACATTTTATCGGAAACTAGATCCAATCGACCAACAATGATGATTGCAGAAGCACCAACGGTCAGAGAACGCCCCAGAACGGCATCCCCATGCTTGGACCACTCGTCCGGGCTAATGCAGCTGACTGACTCCTTCTTCACCATGCAACAAGGCGGCAAGGGACACAGCTGGGGGTGGGGGACTACTTTCCTCGGCAAAGAAAGACAAGTCAATCTTGGAACCGTTGATGAGATCACCGGTCCGCTGTTTGCGACGATCCTTCTTCTTGGTCTGCTTGTTGTGACTGTAGACATCACCCTTAGCCCACGGGTCATTGACCTGTAGGTTATCAACGGCACGTGTGGAAGATGAGGAAGTCGTGGACACAGCAATGTTGAGCTCAGTGCACAAGGTGCGGAAGGCAGACCAAGTGTTTGAGTCAGCAAGGATTGCGGCAACCCGTTTCATGCCAGCTCGTTGAACGAAGGTCTTAACCAGAAAAGGGGAGTCTTGAACCCCTTGATCGTTGCACAATTGCTCGAGCTTTTGCTGGGCCTGAAGGGCAGTCATACCACCACCGATTCCCGCAAAGGTGCGGACCCGCAACAACCCACCGGCATCTGCAGACAGCAACAATACCTCAGGGTCAATCGGCCGCCCACCAGCATAGATACGGGTGGAACCTTGGGCACCGTACCACCTTGAGTCCACAAGCTCCTGCACGTATCTGACATTCTCAAAAGGGTGCAGGGTCACAAAACCAACTGGCTCAACCTGGAAGGGTATGGGCATGAAAGCAACGTCGAGGTACCTAGACCCTCCATCACCATCACCAATCCAAGCACTCAGGATTTGGAACTCCAGCAACTTGTGTCGCGATGGCAATGCTGTGAGAAAGGCATCGACATCACTGGAACCCCGGGATGCAGAGCCAAGGAGATGTCTACGATCACCATTCAAATCAAAGAGAACATACACGGCTTGTTCCCCTTGCAAGTAAGAGGCAAGAATGAGACGTCTCACAAGCAAATCTTCAATGTAGAAGTAACGGGCATTCATCACGGGTGTGAGTGGACCTTGCAGCAACAACCTGAAAAGGACCTGCTGGATGCTTTGCACAGGGGTAAATGCACCACCGACAATGATCTTGTACCAAACAACGGCCGACTGCAAAGGGGCAAAGCAGCCCCCAAGCCCGAGGATGTCCTGGTCTTCATCCGTGAACAGCCAATTTACTCCGAAGCCCATCATGCGAGCAGCTTCAAATGCCGCAAGGTACCTCACTTGAGAACCCTCATCAAGTCGCTCATCCAAAACAAGGAAAGCCAGACACCCACGAACTTGCAAGTTGGGCAAGTGGGAAACGGGCAAGCGAACGCCACCATCTGCGGTCCTCAATTCGCGACACCAACAAGGCATGAGGTGTGTCAAACAGGTCAATCGGCACTTCGGGATCATGAAGCAGAGTTGCACCCGAACATGCTTTGCGGCGGCATCAACCGAACACTCAATAGAAAGAGTCTTGACTTCAGGCAGATCCAGGGCAGCCAGTCCGTGGTGCCATCCTCCTATCCCAGCAAACAGGTCAAGTACAACCAAAGGCATACCATCCCGCCACGGCCGCAGGGAGAGGCCCTTTCATGCCTGCGGTGCATGCACCAATCAGTCCTACCTGGAACTCGGGTTCAATGCTGAAGTCAAAGCCATCGAGGTAAAGCAAGAAATCGTGAATCTCAAGATCCTTATCCCTGCAAAGCCAACCCTCGGAAAGCTGGCACACGACACAGGCTGGGAAATTGATCAAAACGAGGCGGCTCTGACACTCAGCATATAGGCGTCCAAATTCAACATATGAGTTCTCACGAATCACACAATCGGCGAAGACATGTCCCACAGGCGGAGCAACTCAGGCCCACACGGGGCAATGGTGAGCACAAAGCGCTGTGCATTGGCAACGAGCTACACGCCGGGCAAGTGCAACACTGATCACACGGGCAAAGGCAATGTATACACAGATATTCAGTCCCAAGAGGCACGGAATCAAGCATTATGGCGGCATAGGTCACACCTTTACCACACCAACGCTCATGAGTAACCTTGGCACCACAAAGGAACAGACCAACCGGACCACCAGCCAACCGAGCCAAAACATCACAGAGCCATTGGTTAGGACTTCGGGTGATTTCTTCGACATCAAAGTTCAAATGCCCCAAATCAAAGAGGACAGAAAAACTGGCATCGAGTCGGCCAGCATCGGAGTACTCGAGAAACCTTTGATTCTGTGCAATCCATTCAGTGAGACACTGTACACCAGCTCGAAAAGGTACCATCACAGCCACGGGTGGCTCTCCAGTGGAAAGGGCCTCGCATTGCAGAATCTCAGCAGCGAAGCTGCCGGCATCTTCATCCCACACTGAGTTGTGAGAACCACCTGAAGTCGCAACTGACTCAAGGGGAGCCTCAATGAGGCCTTCTGCGGAAGTGCGTGCACTGTCAATTGCAGAGAAATCAGAAATTGCATCCTCACAGGCACTGATTGCACCAAAGCAACTTGCCAAGGCCAAGGTGGTATCACGATGATCACGCCCTATGGCCACGGGAAGGTCAACAGGCATGTCCGATGAGACACCAAAATGGGTGAGGCCATCATTTACAACCGTGTCAAGACATGTGTCCAAGGCACAATGGTTCACGCAGGCACTGAATGCAGGCATCACTGTATCACAGGCACTGATCACAGAAGACTTCAACAAGTCAGAGCGGGCTAACTCTCCTACAGGCAATTCAGAAATCACACCAGAGTTGACGACTTGAGATGGATGTACTGCAGCACCATGTGCAAACGTTTGCGAGGATTCCAGACCGTCTGCAATCAGCTGATCAAATGCAGAAGCATCAATAACAGTGTGAGCACAACTCGACGCAGGTGAACCAGCATGGTCTGAGGCAGCTGCGGAAACTGGGATATCGCCAAGTCCTGCAAGAAGCTCGGGAGCATCAACACCAGGGACAAAGGCACCCCTGTCAAAATTTAGCTCAGAAGGCAGTACATCAGAATTGCGTTGTTCCACAGTGGGTGGATCAAGCACGGTTTGCGCACAGCTGGGCGAAGTGAGTTCTGCATCAATCCAAGTGGCTGTAAGAGAAACCATCTCATCCTTCGAATCGGCGACATGAGAAAGGGCCGGACGCTCAACCGGGGCACAAACAAGGCCCGAAGGGCCAGTGCAATGGGCAGCGGAAAAATCACGGCAATCACCAAGAGTGGGAAAAAAGCTGGACGGCCCTTCAATCTTCATGCCATCAAGTGGCCCTCCAGTGTTTCCAAGGTCTTCATTGCCCTTCGCAGGGTCTTGACAATTTCTTGTTTCAGGGACCGGTCCAGCAACTTCACTCGAGGCGTGAGACGTAGCAACCTGTACAAAAGAGCTGCAAGCGGCACTGTCAGCACCGGCACTTAAGTGAGTGCGAATCCTCTTGACCGAAATAAAGGATGCGCAGTTGCAAGGGCCAGTCATGAGGAGCTGCTTGCACCAGCATTTGTGGTCCTGCAAAATCCATGAGTTAGCAGAAACATGTCCTTGGTCGCTTGGCATTGATCGTTCACGAACAGAACCCGAGCCAAATCCTGATTGAGGTAAATCTTGACTGTCCAGGCCATCTTGACGAAGTGGCAAAACGCCAAGCTGCCTGGCTCCTCCGTACTGAATGGCATGTGTAGGAATCGTAGGTGCAGGTTGCAAATACTGAGCATCACCACCGAATCCAGCAGACAAAAGGTCAAAATCGCTCGTCCAATTACATGCTGAAATAGGGATGATTCGTCCGGTACCATGTAATACACCAGCCTGAAGATGAGGATCGCCAGGACCTTCATGATACCCAACAGTTGCAAATCGCTGTACCAATAGGTGCAGAAAAGCAGGCAAAATGTGAATGGCAAAGCAATGGAGCAATCTTGGCCCCGACCAAGAAAGAGAATATGCAAAGCCGCCTCTTGTGCCCTGTTGAGCCTCCATGCACAAGACGAGGATAGGCAAATCAAGCTGGAAAAAACCCACAAGTCCTTAAGTTGAGAAAGCAAGTCAGACTTACCGTACTCGTTCTGCGGGTGAACATCAAACCTGTAGACAAGTTCACAGAAATGCAAAAGCGTCTCAGCAAGAGCATCCCAAAGTGAGAACGAGCTCCCAAGGTGACCAAGATCCAAAGATATAATCAGAGGAGCCAAAATTGTACAAATCCTCTGAAAGCTCAAGATCCAGCACAGGACATGAGTGAAATGCATATAATCAGAAGCCGCCGTCAAGCCCGAATGACGCTTTCTATTGATAGCGCTTTGCTCCGAGGTACAGCTATTGACTTCCATGCAAAAACCCAAACTTGAAAACGTACTCAAAGGTCTCAAAAGGTGATCACCGTGGTCCAAAGAAACTTTGAGAGAGGCCATCCGAACCAAATCCAGAAAATTCACATCCAAAGGTGCCTCCGAAGCTTCGCCGTCAAGAAAACAACTCTCACGAGAAGAGCAAGTGGAAGAAAAGTCACAAGCCTCAGAAAAATAACATCCGCTGTGATCCGCACAGTCACAACCATGCCGGCACCGATGATGATGAAAGGCAGGTTTATCTCGCCCTTGACAAGGATCTTGCATAAACAGGGAAAAAACCCAAGGTCGCACTCCAGGGTCGAAATCTCCCAGAAAACTGCAAAATTCCTGGATAATAGGGTCACTACGAAGTCGAAAAAGCAAATCACAAACGAAACGTTCCCGAAGCAAATGCAAAATGTGTGAATAAGTCATGGAGCTCTTCGACGACCGCCATCGGCTCAAGTGCAGGACATACTCCAAGACCCAGAAGGTCTGACCCGGAGAAGAGAGTCCTCAAAAACTTCAACGTGCTACGAGAGCACCCCCGACAGCGTGGACCTGAAGCTGTCCAACTACAGCACCACGGCGGCCATGAACGGCTCCATCGCCTCGGCCAACAACGCCAGCTGGCCACAGCGGCGGCCAACTATGACCTCAAGACGGTGGTGGACCAGCACTCCCTAGACTTCCGGCGAGGATCACGCTAGAGGTCGACACCAAGGTGGCCAACGCTCTCCTGGGATCCGTCACCGCTCTGTCTGCCGTCGACACTTCCTCAGAGGTGGACTCTAAGATAGCGGCAGCCCTCTTGGGCGCAGTCACCACGGCAGCCCTGGACGCTGCCCTCCTCGGCAAGGCGGACGCAACTGCTCCACGGTGGAGGGTTAACAGCAGACACCAAGATAGCAAATGCCCTGCTGGGTCTCGCCACCGAGGCCTTGTCGCAGGCGCAGCTTGCTAGCGGGACGCCAGCCGTAGGCCAGCAGGGCGCCGAGATGGCTGCCTGCGTCTGTAGCGCGGGGTGGTATAATTCTACATCAACCCGTGCTACCAGTACGTGAAGTGAGGTCCTTCACTTATAAGACCTCTGATGAATTGACCGATGGCGTTGGTCAAAGCGCTTGGAATACCTCGGCCCATGATGAAGTGACCGGCGAAGCTGTGCCGGGAACTGGGGTGTTTTTGCGCACTTTTCGGCCCGGTGACGAAGCGAAGCGGTGACAAGCGGTGACATGCTCGGCGGGCGGAATTCGCCGGTTAAACGGAGCCGGACGGAGCGGTGACACTGGTGACAAGCTCGGCGGGCTGACGGACCACCTCGGCGGTCTCCGAGCCTGGTCCTCCGGCGGACTGTCGGGCCGCGGAAAACCTGCGGAGAACGAGGTCCGGACCTAGGGCCGCTTTTGCGCACTTTTGCACCCAAAAAGCAAGCGGTGACTTTTGACGTCTGACACGAAAAAACAAACTTTTCGGAGTTGACCGTGAGCGCTTTTTGCACCAAAAAACGGAGCGGTGACAAAGACCGGTGACATCGGAAACGTTCAGCTGGATGGAGAATTTGGCTGTTTTGCAGGGTAGAAAAAGCTGCCTTTCCTTACTACTCGTGCTGCCGGCCTGGGCTTTGTGGAGGAGCATCGTCGGGCATCTGCCGCTGACCACATTGTCGGGCATCTCCGCACGGAGCCACGTCGGCGCGGCGACGCTGGGCGCGACGTGGACAGGCGCTTCTACTTCAGGGCGCGCTAAGAGGCCTGCCGGGCGTAGCAGGGCGGCCTGCGCACGCCCTGCTGCGCAACAGCTTCTCGGGAAAATGGGGCTCCTTTGGCAGCAGCAGCCACTGCCCTCCGAGCTGAGCACTGCCCCCAGCATCCTAGCAAACCTGCATCTACGCCGACCCTCCCACATCATCTTCTCCGGTCGCACCGGGGGAGGGCCACACCTGCCTTCCACCCACTTGACCTACAAAACGACTCTTTGCGAGTGGCCTGCCCGTGTCCTGGTTTACCCGGAGGCCGTCCAGAAACGCCTTTACCTCCTCTCTGGAAATGCTGGGGTCGCGCACCTAAGCCTGCTGCAGCGTCTGCGCTATGCTGGGGAAACCGGTGCGGGGATCCTCGTTGACGAGCCTTAGCGGGCGTCGGCCGCCATGCTTCTTATGGGTTCTTCGGCCCCCGCTAGGCCTGCCAGGCTTCCGCCGGGCCTGGAAGCCCTTGCACACCCCCAGAGCACGCTGGTGAGGTGAGAGTAGTCGAGGGTGACCATTTCCATGCCGTGGCTCCACGGAGTCGAAGAGCTGCTGGAGCTCAGCCACGTCGGCCTCGGCGATCTCCGTCTTCACCCTGCTGTCCGACAAGTCCGTGAAGCTCGTGTTGCAGTGTTGCCCGCGATCACGAGGCAGCCGGGGTTCCTCTGGTTCGTGGTAAAGGACAGCTGCGTCGAGAGGCTCTTCGTCTGCACCAGCGCCTCATCGTTGATCATGATGAGCTCGCACTGGTGCGTCCCGCCGTCCCGCTCCAGGAAGACCCTGGCGCTCTGGTTGCCCAGCAGCCGCAGCTCCGGGCCGCTGTCGGAGGCCGCGCTGTTGTTGGACATCTGCAGCTTGCTCCAGCCCGCCCAGTTCTTCGTCAGGAAGAGATCGTCCGAGAAGTCGGAGGTGTTGGTCACGATGAGCGTGTTGGACGCGAAGAGCTGCGGCGCGGAGACCGTGCCCGAGCTCGTCACGTCGCCGCAGACCACGCTGCCCGTCGACACTCCGCCGCTCGTGGCCGTGAAGGTGCAGTCCAGGCTCTCGCAGTCCAGCGGGCCCGCGGAGGCCGCCCCGGTGATGGTCAGCGTGGCGCCCGTGAGCGCCCCGGTAGCTGCGAAGCTCGCCGCGGTTGCTGCGCCCGAGGCCGTCAAGCGTCCCCGTGGACACGTCGCCCACCGTGGTGAAGTTCCCGGCGTTGGCCGTGTTGTTGATGGTCAACGTGCTGCCCGTGATTCCGGTGGCTGAGCTCAGCAGGCCCACGCTGGCCGCGCCCGTGATGCTCAGCGAGCTGCCTGACACGGCCCCTGTGGACGACAGCGTGGCTCCGGCGACGGTGCCTGTGGCCGGAGCGCTGCGCAGGAAATGGCGCCTGAGGCGTCCACGCCCGTCGTGAACACGTCAGTGCAGTTCACGTCGTTGCACAGCAGCTGGTCGCAGCCCACGTTGCCCTGCGCGGTGAGCCCGTCCAGCGTGGCCGAGCCCGTGAGGGCCAGCGAGTCCGCCAGCAGGTCCGTCACGGAGACCGACTCTCCCTCGAAGGCTGAGGCCCTGATCTGCATGCTGTACAGGTCCAGCGTGCCCGCCGACTGCTGCACCAGCCCGGGGATCGAGCCTCCGAAGGCTCCGAAGTGCAGCTTCGCGATTCCGCCCGGCGGCACCGAGAAGTCCAGGCGCGCCGTGCTCCAGACACTGCCGTGCCGAGGAAGGTGCCGGTGACGCCCACGTAGTCGTTGTCGGCCGCGCTGACGCACATCACCAAGTTGGAGGCCGTGCCCAGCCGGTACCGGCAGCCGAAGGAGTAGCGTCTCCCCGGCGTCAGCGTGTAGGTACGCACGATGTTCCAGGCGAAAGCGCTCAGGGTCATGGCGTAGCCCTCCAGCTGAAAGCCTCCCACCGTAAAGCTGGCTGAGGCCACGGAGCTCTGGCTGTTGGAGCGCACCAGAAAATTGCCTAGCGTGGTGAGCGTGGGCTCCAGCAGCACCTCGCTCAGGGTGGCCAGCGTGACGTCGTCGGCCCCTCCGTCTCGTGCTTCAGCAGCAGTGCCGAAGCCGCCGTGTCCTCCTCCACCTCCGCAGTTGCCGGTCTCCAGGGTTGCGTCCAGGATCTGGAGGCCGTAGACGTCCACCGTTCCTGCCGTCTGGTTGGGCAGGCCCGGCGGGAAGTGCGCCCCGAAGTGCAGCTTCGCCACTCCGTTCGGAGGCACTGTGAAGTACATCTTGGCCGTGCTCCAGGCACCCTGGTCGCCCACGAAGCTGCCGTACTGGGTCGTAGACGTTGTCGGCCTCTGACACACACCACGAAGTTGGAGGCCGTGCCGAGCCGGTAGCGGCAGGCGAAGAGGAGCTCTCGGCCCGGGGTCAGGTTGTAGGTGCGCACGATGTTCCACGGGTTCGCCGCCAGGGTCAGGGTGTAGCCGTCCACACTTACTCCCGCAGTGTGCGTGGCCAGGACCACGCTGCAGCCGCTGCTGGGGCGAACCGTCCAGTTTGACAGCGAGACGTCCGTGGGGGCCAGGATCTGCTCTCCTATGGCGGCCACCACCACGTCGGCCCCTCCGAGGCTGCCTCCGTGACTCCGAGCTTGCCGGCAAGGAGGCCGTCTACTTGTGCGATGGTGTAGTAGCTGAGCAGCGCGGCTGTGATGCTCGAGGCCGTTGCCGCGTCCTGGTCTGCGATTGAACGGTACGCCACCAGCGCCGAGGTGATTTGGTTGTTTGTGAAGACGTCCTGGTCCGGGCCCGTCCGGTAGGCCAGCAGCGCGCCCGCGATGGCGGCCTGCGTCTGCGTCCTGCGCGCTTGCCGTGCGGTAGTCTCCCAACAGCGCGTCTACCTGCGCCGAGGTGTAGTAGGCCAGCAGCGCGGTCGTGATGGCGCTGGTCGTCTCCGCGTCCTGCGCTGCCCCCGTGCGGTAGTCTCCCAACAGCGTCTACCTGCGCCGAGGTGTAGTAGGCCAGCAGGGCTGCTGTTATAGCGGCGTCAGTGCCCGCCGTGGAGTAGCAGTCTGCCGTGATGCTCAGCGTGTCTCGCCGTTGGCCAGCGCAGCAGAGAGAGGAGCCCCCAGATGCAGGTTGCGAACGACGTTACTTCCGCGAACGAGCTCCCAAGTCGTGAAGCCCGCCCAGGCCGGCGCGTTAACAACTCCGCCGCTGCCGGAAAGCTGCAGGGCGGCGAGCTCCGCGAGGATTGCGTCGAGGGCGCTCTGGAGCGTGGTCTCGCTGGCCGAGAGCGCGGCGTTCGTGGCGTATGAGGCCAGCAGCGTCGCGTCGGCCTTGGCCCCCTGGAGCGCCGCGATGCTGGCGTCCCGGCTAGCAAGCTGCGCTGCGACGAAGGCCTCGGTGGCGAGACCCAGCAGGGCATTTGCTATCTTGGTGTCTACCTCCAGCGGCGTGTCCAACCCGTCCACCGTGGAGAGCAGGGAGGCCAGCGCGCTTGCGTCCGCCTTGCCGAGGAGGGCGGCGTCCAGGGCTGCCGTGGTGACGGCGTCCAAGAGGGCTGTCGCTATCTTAGAGTCCACCTCCGAGGAAGTGTCCACGGTCGACTGCAGGGCGTAAGCAGTCAGGGCGCTGGCGTCTGCCTTGGAGGCCTGCAGCCCCGAGATGGAGGCGTCTCGGCTCGCGAGCTCGGAGGCCAGCGCCGCGGCGGTGACGGCCCCCAGGAGAGCGTTGGCCACCTTGGTGTCCACCTCCAGCGGCGTGATCCTCGCCGCTATGTCCAGGGAGTGCTGGTCCACCACCGTCTTGAGGCCGTAGTTGGCGGCCACCGTGGCCAGCGTGGCGTTGTTGGCCGAGGCGATGGAGCCGTTCATGGCCGCCGTGGTGCTGTAGTTGGACAGCTTCAGGTCCACGCTGTCCGGGGTGCTCTTAGTGGCCACCACGCCCTCCAGCACGTCGAAGGCCGACTGGTCTGCCTTGTTGGAGAGACCCGTGGTCAGCGAGCTCTGCAGCGCTGCGATGCTGCTTCCGTGCGCGGCCACCGGGCGCAATCGCCGGCGCCAGCGCGCTGCTGTCCAGCTTTGAGGCCAGCTTGGCGGTGACTCGGTCGTCCAGGGACTGGATGGCAGCGGCGTTGTTGCCGGAGGCTGCCGTGTTCACCGCCAGGTCAGTCACTTGAGCGTAGGGAGTCAGAGCGAGGGCCAGCTGTCCTGCTGTGACGCGCGTGCCGTCAGTCACCTCTCCGTTGTCCAGGACCTCCGGGATGTTGCCCGTGACAGGTCCTTCAAACATGTTTTCTTAGGAGTAGGTGTTACACGAATTCGTAACAATGGGGTGTTGTACTTTCGCAACGCTCCCTCACTTGAGTCGCTATGGGACATTCGGGGGCAGGGTGGTATAATTATATATCAACTCGCAACAGCCCCTACCAGTACGCGAAGTGTGGAATGACTGGGCATGAAGCGAGACCTCTGATGAATTGGCCGATGGCGTCGGTCAAAAACGCTTGGGACACCTCGGCCACATGACGAGACCGGCGAAGGACACTCATGAGCCAACCTTGCCCATTCATGAACCAACCTTGCCCATTCATGAACCAACCTTGCCCATTCATGAGCCATTGATGAATCACCCGGTTCCATTATTGACTCAAACTTGCCAAGAACCGAGTCCTCTCGGGCGCACTTTTCGGCCCCAAAGAGAGCGGTGACGAAGCGCTGACATCGCGGTGAGACCGTTTTTGGGCCAAAAAGCGCCGTTTTGGGACGGTAACGAGAGCCTATGGTGACATGGCTTAGGCGTTGGTCTCCGGAGCGACGTTTCGGAGGTTCGACCTCGGCGGGCTGACGTGTTAGAGACCGGTGGCATCGGCGGTGACAAGTTCAGCGGGCTGCCGTGTCACGTGGGAGAACCTCGCAGGCTGACGCGTTATGTGGGAGCACCTTGGCGGGCTGTCGTGTCAGACCCCGGCGACAGAGGCGGTGTGCCTCGGCAGGCTGACGTGTTAGAGACCGGTGACATCGGCGGTGACAAGCTCAGCGGGCTGGAATTCGCAGGCTTTTCGGGCTAGAAAACGGATTTCGGAGCACGGCGAACACCTGGAGCCGGTTTTCGGCGGAAAACGAGCGAATTTGGAGGCCCAGGCAGCACATTTGACGCCGGACACGAAAAACGCACTTTTCGGAGTTCGCCGTTTTCAGCGCTTTTTGCTCCAAAAACGGAGCGGTGACGAAGCGGTGACATCGCTGGTGACAAGCGTTTTTTGGACGAAATTTGGCTGTTTTGGAGCGTTTAGGGACCAAAAATCCAAAATAATTAGGTCCCTATAAGCTGCCTTTCCTTACTACTAAGGTCGAAATCTAAAGATCCATCCATCCGACCTCAAGGAGGCAACCGAAGCAACACATTCTTCATCATCGAACAAGGTGAATACGAAGGAGAAGAAGGCTTCTGGGTTGAGGATGAAGAAGGACTTGAAGGATTCATGTCAAACAACGATGAAGAGACGTTCTGGGTCCTCGAGGAGAACGATGCGTTCATAGCAAGAAAAGTGTCGGGGCGGAACTTCAAGTTCAAGAAGAGAAAAGGAAAAGGAAAATCAGGAAACAAAAAGGGCAGTCACCAACGAGGTGGCTTCAAACCCTTCAGAAAAAGCGGTTCTGGCGGAAAGGCCAACACAGAAGCCAACAGCCAGCCAGGGTTTCCTTTGAGCCTACCAGGTGGAATAGAATCCGTTTGGGAAACTCCCTCTAAAGAGAGAGGTGCGATGTTCTATGTTCGCGCTTTCGCGCAGCGCAGTCTGCAGCTCGCTGCAGTTTGCGCAGTTCGCGCAGTTCACTGCACAGTTCGCTGTCCGGGCTGCGCAATGATCCAATGTTGCGCTATTGTTGCTTAAGACGATTCAATGTTGCTTCAACAATGGCCTGGCATCGAAGCCTTCCGAGAATGGCCTCGAGGCGAAATTTCGGCGATTTGTCCCGAAATTTTTGAGCGTCGTGCGCAGGTCAGGGGTGGTTTCACGACCTGGGGGTTTGAATTCAAGGATATTTTCCCTCAATTCATGTACTTCCTGGTTGCCGAGCACGGCTCAAGCCCGCGCCACCCGAGGTCGGAACTCTACCCACCGAGGTGGAATTCCAACGCAGTGATGCCGTTCTTGTGGCATCACTGACGGAGTTGCCCTGCCGACAATCCTGCGCTGGGCGGCACGGCTGTGGAGCTCCCGGCCTCCGGCACGTTGCTGTACATCTTGAGCGCAGGCCCACGTACTCCAGGATCCTGGCGGGGAAGGTCTCGTCGCCGAGCTTGCCCCTGGCCCATCACCTCGATGGCCTTGAGTGCGCCGCTGCAGAGAGCGCGCTCAGGTCCCTCTCGGGGTCCTTGGACTTGCCGGCCACGTCGAAGAGGGTGGCGGTGCAGATTCCTCGGCGTGGAGCGGGTCCTGCAGCTTGAAGACGGTGTCCGTGAAGAGCCTCCTTTGTGGAGGTAGCTCGCTGTGCTTGACTCCAGCCCGCCATGAAGGGGCCTGTGCAGCCTCCAGACCCTGGCACCCAGCACCACGCTCTCCTCTACGTGCATGCCGCGGAAGGGCGCGAGCTTCTCGCAGTTTGCAGGGCGACGGAGAGAGGTCGAGGCGCTCCGCCATGTGCGCAAGCTGCCCGTGCCCTTCGGGCACTTCTGCGGCGCCGAGGCGTGGGAGATGCCCGCGGTGTGGGAGCAGCACTGCTACGACAGCGTGCTGGCAGGGAAGGCGGTGAGCAGGACCACCGGCTGGCCGTCAGCACCGCCTGTCTCATGGGGTGGAGACCTTCCGAGTTCACGACTGCCTCCACACCGACGTCCTCCTCGCCAGCTCGGGGTTGTTGGCTTGAGCGAAGGGCTGGAAGATGCAGCTCAGCCCAAGGACCGCACGTCCTTGTAGGCCTGCTCGTCGGTGATGAGGTGAATGGGAGTCTCGCGGCCGCCGCAGCATGGCGTCTACAACCCCAGGAGCCCGTCAGCGGATCTCGTACTTGGACTTTGACGCCATGTACGCCGCAATGACGCTGCCCATGCTCAACGGCTCCTGCGTGGCGGTCGCCCTGCCAGAAGAAAACGCTGCTAGGCTGAGCGAAACGTGCCTCTCGCTGGGAGTCCGACACCGAGGCGGCCTCGTGGACTACGACTTCCCCCGGAGCTGCATGACCACTTGGACTGGGCTCTCCCCGCGCGCATGAAGGTCGGGGACCTGTACGGGCCGCACACCGCGGAGGATGCAGTCCCACGCCTGCTCCAGGTCGCAGTGCGTCCGCCGCTGTTTGAGAGGCCGTCTTTGGGGCGGAGAGTCGGTCGGCGTGCAGCAGCTCTCCGGCAGCGCTTGTGGGTGCAATCGTGGGAGACGTTCATGCTGTCCACGAACCTCAGCGGCTCTCTCTGTTATTTGTGAAATCTAAAACCGCTCACAGCGCATCTTCAGAGGTTATTATTCAGCAAATGTGGATTCTGCGAAAATTTGGTGGTTTTGCGCGGTGCGGCCACAGCCCTTCTGCTTGCACTTCTGCAAGGGTTTTCCGCCTGCTTCAATATGCAGGCAAAACGGGTCCTAGTCGCATTCTGTGCGTCTCGGAATTTTAAGTTGCCCGGGCTTAAAGCGCTGTTTCTGGCCTTGTAAGTGCGTTTCTGTTGCGGAGCTTTGTGGCTCGAAAAGCCTGATAAGTGCTTTCTAAGCGCAACGGTAACTCAGAGCAGAAGGGTGGAATTCTCTTGGCCTTATTTGCTGCATGTGAGCCTTGGGTTGCGTCTCCGTCAATCCTCCGGCAACAGGATTGCATTGCTGGGTTAGGGCAGCCGCAGATAGGCCACGTATACTTCAGCTGCCGGCTTCCGGAACTTGCGTAACGCAAACCCCGTGGTGCCCCTGGTGCCATGCACGGGCATCTTCCTTGGGCCCAGCAAGTCGGGCAAAACTGTGGCGCTCATCAGTCTCATCCTGGAGCAGTACAAGGGCGTGTTTGAGCGGATCTACGTTTTCAGCCCAAGCGTCAACATCGATGATGGCTGGATCCCCGTCAAGAAGTACATCGAGCAGGACCTGGGGGTGAACACGGAGCGTGAGCAGGCTTACTGGGACGAGTGGGATGAGTCCGCCTTGCGGCGCATCATCCAGCAGCAGCGCAAGATCACGGAAGCGTCCAAGAAGTTGGAAATGAAGAAACTGTACCAGGTGCTTGTAGTCATCGACGACTTTGCTGACACGCCGCAACTCCACAAGCCGCATGGCGCCCTTGACACGCTCTTCATCCGAGGCCGTCACATGCAGATCAGCACCTGGGTGAGCTCGCAGAAGCTGAGGCTCATCAGCGCAGCCGTGCGGGTCAACATGCAATTCCTCTGCTGCTGGAGGCTGCGCAACCAGCACGAGCTGGACGCCGTCATCGAGGAGCTGAGCGCCCTGCTGCCGAAGGAGCAGCTGTACCGGCTGTATGAGCAGGCGACCCGAGAACCTTACAGCTTCCTCTTCGTGTACTACCTGAAGCCGAAGAACGAAATGTTCTACAAGCGCTTCGAAGAGCGTTTCGCGCTTGAAAAAGACGCCGATGGGAGCGGCGCTCAGCTTCCTGGGCCAGAAGCTGTTCGCCAGCTCCACGCTGATCAACGCGAAGTGTGAGAACATCTCCTGCTGCACTTCCGTCTCAGCCGTCCAGCCGCCCGTCGTCCGCCGGATGGGTGGTTTCCTAAAGAAAAGGATGACAACGATCTACGTGGACAGCCGCAAGAGGGTGGCCGGCTCGGACAGTGACTTTGAGGTCGACCTGGGAGAGTCGCTGCACCTGCAGAGCGACGCCCGCTTGGCTGGGTTGGGCTCGTGCTTCGGTCGCTGGAGTGTTGCTTCCGCCGGGCAGCGGTTGGCCTTAGGGAATGGGATGCGCCCATAAGGCAAAGGCATGGGGAGGATTAAGCTCTTCCCCACGCGGCGATTCTGATCCCAATGGTTTGGTGTCATGCAAGTGCGCCAGCCGAGGCGAAAAGCTCTTCCCCACGCGACACACGCTTTGGCTTCTTAGCCTGGGGCAATGACGCCGGCTATTAGCGAGCTCTTCCCCACGCCCGAGTACACCTCCAAGCAGCCCGGCGACCCTGTCGCGGCCTGTACTCGCAGCAGCCCGGAATTGCTCCAGCCTCTGTGGCTGCGTCCGGCCCTTTCCCAGAATGCGACCACAGCCCCTGAGGGCGCAATCCTGCCTTTGGGGTCGGCAGATTTCCCTTGTACATTGCCTGTCTGGGATGGGCCTGCAGCGGGGCAAGCTTCGGCATGCAGGAAGAAGTTCATCGCCTGGTCGGACTGCGGCAGCTCTGGCAGCGTTTCTGGCAGCTCATTGCTTAACTTGGGGTGCCTCAGATGCCTCCACCATCTATGCAGAGTTCGATAGACAGGGGTTGACCGCGGACACTGTTCAAAACGGCGTGGGACATTCTTTTCCTGATGTCCGCAGAGTTGCAGCAAGTACTGGTCGCTGTCGGTGCCTTTTGCTGGCTTTTCTAAAATCGGGGAACTCCCTACAAATTCCGAGCCCGTATAAAAATTACAAAACCGGATTTTGTTGTTGAAAAAAGGACCTTCTTTTTTGCGGAAACAAGTTTTCGCCACAATGGCTGCCCACAATCTGGGGCAGGCTGCGGCAAATGGACAGCTGCTGGCTGCGCTGCTGCAAGCCGAGGCCTTGCTGGGTGATCGAAGGGGACGAGCCCTGGCAGCCCGAAACGCGGGCGAAGCTGGCCTACCGCCTAATCTACTGCTGCCACCTGCGCGTCAAGACTCAGGGTTTGGGATGCGCTAAAAAAAAGCAAACCGTGGCCATGGGGAAGATCAGCTTGTTCCCAACGCCCTGGAATCTGTGCGCAGCGGGGACAGAAGTGCAGTTTTAGATTTGCGTCCAATAAAGAACAATGCGTGGACTTGCTCCCCATTTGTTCGCTGGATACTTGCTCAAAAGCCCCATCCGCCATTCACCTGCGAGAGCTTGTTGACCAACTGCTTGCCCCGAGAAAGCCGAGAGAGAACTCGGCTGGTGAAATGGCGCACAGTCGGCAGAAAAAACACCAGCTTCAGCCATTGGCGCTTCATGACATGCTACCGCGATTCCTGGAAGTAATGACATTGCCGCTCCATGCGTTTCTCCCATGCTGTTGGCCCGCATTCTGCAATGATGCTCATTAGCACTGGCGCTGGTCGGCGTGATTTCTTGTCCACTGCTGCTCAACTTCCCTGATCGCCACCTTCAACAAATAGCATCAAACACCTGTGCACAACTTGGCTCAAAAAGGTCAAACTGGCAAGCCACGAGAGCAATTCTTTCCCCCGCACTTCTTCAAACGGCTTGGTACTGCATCCGCGCGCTTTGGCACAGGGAGGAACGCCGCAGTGAAACAGCTGTTGACCAGCGCCGGCAACTGTTGCTGGTCCTGTACCCGTTGCAGGCATTCCCTGCTTGACTTGAACACCGTTGCCTGATGTTCAAAAGTGTGAACAGTTGCCTGCCTTACCCTTCAGGAGTCAAGCAAAGTCGCACTGCAACGAAACAACTGTGCCTGCGAACGCATGCTTTTGTCACTGTACGAGGTGAAACGTTGTGCGCCAGCATTGCCTCAGCCGAGAACAGTGACCACAGCCAGCAGTAGCCTGGCAACGATGCAAGTTCGCACGTGTGGAACACTGCTGGGTTGCTGAGGTGCCTCAAACTATGCGGCTCCAGCAGCTCCAGCTGGAATCGTGAATCCATAGCAGTCTGCCCTGACAGCTGGGCGACAGCACAACCCAAAATTGCAAGGCATCGGAACCAAGCGCTGGGCTTGGATTTGCCACGGTCGACTTCTGATTCTTCATCTGATTTAACCCAGCCGCCGTCCTGCAAAGTCCAGCCGAGAGACGGCAAGGGGGTGAGGTGTGGGGGATGGAACAAATGGGGGTGCGCTTTGACATGCAAAGCTCTCCTTCCGGCTGTAAACGTCGATCTTGGATGCAGCAATGGTCAACTCCTCTTCCGCTTTGATTGCCTGACAATCACTCAAACCCTCAATCTCTGTCATCGCCCTTCTTTCAAGAGCTTGCAAGACAGGATGAGCGAAATTCGGCTTGAGCGCGGGGCCTTCTTCAAATATGCCTGCCAACATTGAAGCTAAGACGCACAGCATCCTCCAAGTTCAAGTTCACACAAAAAGTGATCAAAATGCATTCAACAAATACATGGCAGGGGTGCTATGTTTTGCGGCACTGGGTCGATTGGAAAAGCATTGCCAGTGGGCTGGAAGCCGCCACTGCCCTGCAAGGTCAGGGAGCCAGGGCAAGGAAAAGAAACACAACATCTCCATTGAATATTGAAGGTGGGCGACAATTTGAGAGCTCTTCTGAGAAGGAAGTCGACAGCTGTTTTCAGAACGTGAATGCAGGGCAGGCAAAACTGCTCACAGCTGCTGGTAAGGTCCAGGCAGGGCTTCCCAGCTGACAGACCCACACTGCTGGGGGTCGTTGCGGGGCGGCACTGCCTTGTGGGCGACAACCCTATTGGTTGCAGGCAGCACTGCTCTTGCAACTGACAATCCATGCATTGAATGAAAAAACGGACATATCCCACCCCAAAAGAGCGGACAAAACACCCGACCGACAAAACGCAGTGCAAAACCAGTGCAAGGGTCTGGTCTCAGCTTTTGGAGGGGAGCATTTGTTTTTTCCCCGGCTCAAATGAGAAGAGCTCCAAGTCGGCTTGCCCCCGGCCGTCCTGATGGAAAGATGCTCTTGAGCTTGTCGGCAATCTTGAGGCGCATGTGGTAGGAAGACGGAATGACTGCCCACTCACAGGACGTGTTTGTGAAGATGTCGGGCAAATCGAAGGTGATGGCATCCTCCTTAATTATACCCCCGACATTCTCCTCCGCTATCATCCTCGCACCCTTGTCTGTCTTGACATTTCGCACGGGCGAAAAGCCTTGTTTCGCTATGTTCTCGAGGTGCGCCCTCGCCTCCGGATCTTCCACACAGGATGGTAAGCCAGGGCAGTCCACAACTGCAAATGGGTTGAAGTTATCCTTCTTCTCTACGAGGCTATCCAAAGCCTGCTTGGTGGTGTAGATGTCACCGCCAAAATAGGTGTAAAATATATTTGCCAAGTTTTCATCCATGCCCCAGTCATGTTGCAGCATCTTCAGCATGTCGTACTTTGGCACCTCGCCAATCACAATCACCCTGCCAATGTCCCTGAGGTCCAATCCTGTTGCCTGCAGGCGGAAAGGGTAGGCAAATTCTGAGGAAATAAGCAGTACGCTTGTCAGCTTGCCTTGTTTTGTCCAAGCTGTGATGGCTGCCAAGGCAGACTTGGCTTCGCCCCTCTCTCCTCCATCCTGTCCGTTTGTCAACCCGGGCAGACCCAGGTTGGCCTCATCCACAACGATGGCGCTTCTCTTCGAAGAAGCTCTCACCCTACTCAGAAAAGCATCGATTGCCGACCGAACTTTTCTCCTGCTGGTTGCAATGCCAGCCATGTCTTTGATGAAGGCGCCCACCGGACTCGCTGCCGGGCCAAGACCCTCAATTGCGAGCACAGCAGCGGATATGATGCCCAACCAAGATGGAACGTATTGACCGACATCGTTGTCACCAGTTCTCTCCTTCAATGTCTTGTTGGCAGTCAAGAGAATGGCATTCAACAGACTCGTACCTGGCATGTCTCGCATATCTGCTGAGACCACCACTACGTTGGAGCTGCATGCTCGTAGTGCGGCCTGTTTGAGGAACGTTTTTCCCAGATTTTTGCCCCCCAACACCAGTGTGAGCAATCCTGTGCTTTCCATCGACTGGACCAGGGCCTTCACGGCTTCATCTCTATCAACCACTTGGCTTGAATTCATGTGCTGACCAGCACGCGTCTTTGTTTCTGCGATGTAGGCCTCAACATCTGTCTTGTTGTTGCCAGCCGCTTTCTGAGCAGCTCCCCAGAAATTGCTGCCACTTTTTGTTTCACCAGCCGCAGCACGGACAGGACAACGCGGCATTGGGCGGGTTTCTGTCCGTGGTGCCACAAAGCACCACCCAAGAATACTCGCACAAAGTGCACACGCCAATGTGCCGCGCCGATGGCGTTCTCGCAACATCGCGTATCGTGAACAAACTTGTTGTGGAACGACTGGGCGGGGACAATGAGCCTTCATGTGTCGCATGCACATCTTTGGTTCACTCTTATGGTTCATGAAGGCGGCACATGACAGGATAAACATTGTGCTCAGTTCTTTCGTATCTGCGCATGTGCAGGCTGGTGCCATCCAGATTTGCGTTCTCTCGATCTTGAAGCTGATTTTCAACCATGCACATGCCCGCAACCCAAGCACATGCCACCACACGCAACACGCTGCGCATTCAGACCAAAACCGCCTAGGACCTGAACGTCAAAATCGAGCGCATTAACAAACAAAACCTCAATTGATGTTAAATAATGTGGGCATGGGTCTAACACTTCAAGTCACGCAGAGTCACACGAGGCAACGAAACGTGCTCGTTGCTTTTTGCACGAGGTGAAACAATGCGTGCACGTTGCGTGCCTGCTTGGCCTCAGCCGAGAATAAGAGACCAAAGCGAAATCAGGCCCGCAAAGACGCAAATTCACAAGTAAATTCACGATGCTGCGCCGCCAAGGGAGGCAGCTGCTACGCCGACGCAACTCCAGCTGAACACGAAGCCATAAGCAACGTGAGAAGTGCGCCCGTTGGCTTTCACTCTCCCTGAAACTGATTAGGTTTCGAAACCAAGCTGTAATGCATCCAACTAGAAAGCAACAATCCCATCCAAGGCCCAAGTACAACAAATGATGTGTAGGGCATTAGTCTGCCAGCGCCAATCGTTCTTCCAGCGCATGGATTTTGGGGGAAATCTACTGTTTGTTTGAAAAGAACATGATCGGTCAGCTTTGCTTGCAGCTTTGCATTCAAGAGCATGTTTGCTTACAAGCGCCATGAAACAACATGCAAATGCAAGACCAAAAGCGTCTGATGCCAATGGCTTAGAAAGAGTTGGTAAGGGCGCTGTTTTGGCAGGCTTCGTTCCTTGACCCAACGCACAGTCCTGACACTGCAAAAGGATTGTAGTGCCCTGGCTGCGTTCTTCTCAGCAGTTTCCGCCTTCTGCATTGCCTTGACTGCCTCTTCTTGTGCCTTGCTTGCCTCTTCTTGTGCCTTGCTTGCCGCAGGCAGGGCAGCCTCTGCTTGAAAGTAGACAACGTGCAGCATCTTGTTCTTGAGCAAGCCCAACACATTTTGAAGGCCAAGTCGATCAGCCAGCGATTCTGTATCGACTTGCAATGCTGCTCGGTTGAAACCGATCGCAAAGCCTGTGGTATCCGGCTGAAGCTCAACTGGCTCCAATTGTCTTGCATCGTCACGTGCTCAGAATCCCTTGCGCGCAACAAGACAGCTCTGGATCTCAATCTGATAAAGCTTCATTGCAACGTAGCGGCTGTCGGAACAGATTTCCACAAGCACTCTCTGAACGTTTGCGCACGTAGCACTGACCTTGACTGTGCTCAGCCTCTCGACCTTTGCAGCAAAGTTCTCGAAAGAACCATTGTAGACTGTGTCGACTTCTGCTTCCTCCTCCCCGACACCCCTTGATCTCATTCCGTCCCCAATGTGGTCGGAGACTGTTTCGCGCAGAAAGCGCGCAACAGCTTCCTTGCATGTCTTCAAACGATCTTGTTCCTTTGGGTCTTGAAATAAATTTGCACGGAGCGTCCGAGGACCACCACTGCCAATCATGCAGGATATCATACTTTCATAGTTCCTTCCGCTGATCTGACTGACACTTGAGAAGGGCTTGGGCCGTCCGTCCTCATCAACTAAACAATATGTTTTGTCAAGTTGTCGTTGCCGCGCTGGCTCTGGTATGGCATGGCTTCCGTAAAAAACTGCCTGTGTTTGCGGTAGAAATTGCACCGCAGGGCGCGGAAGTGGCGCAGCAGGCGCAACAAAAGACCCAGGCTGCCCAAACCACGCAAGAGGTGCATTTTGCGGAACAGGTTCCCCACGGTATGCTACGAATTGCCCATGCCGCCACTCCATGGCAAGGGTTCAATGATAGAAAATGAATCTGTGTGACCATGCTGCTGGGTTTCAATATGCATCGAACGTGTCTGGATGAAGCTGCCCTCAATGCGTGCACATGCGTGTGTTGAGGATTGAATTGTTTGACATCAACTCTCCTCTGCTGCCAGCCGGGTAAGGAAAAAGGTTCACTGCGCCATCTGCTTAGGACAGCTTGAGATGTCGCACTGCATTCCAGTGGAAAACTACTCAAGTTGGACGGCACTACAGAGAAAGCAAAACTGCAAGTGACCACAGCCAGCAGTAGCCTGTCAACGATGCAAGTTCACAAGTGTAGAACACCGCTGCGCCGCTGAGGTGCCTCAAACTATGCGACTCCAGCAATTCCAGCTGGTAACGTGACAAACTATGTCACCGATTTGTGGAAATTTGCCGCCAACCAAGAGCTTCACAGCAAGCCGCACTGCAACGAAACAACTGTGCCTGCGACTGCACTTTTTTGTTCCTGTAAGAGGTGAAACGTTGTGGGCCAGCATTGCCTCAGCCGAGAACAGTGACCACAGCCAGCAGTAGCCTATTAACGACGCAAGCTCACAAGTGTAGAAGACTGCTGCGCTGAGGCAGGTGCCTCAAACTATGTGGCTCCAGCAGCTCCAGCTGGCAACATGAATCCGTAGCAGTCTGCCCTGACAGCTGGGCGACGGCACAACCCAAAGTTGAAAGGCATCGGAACCAAGCGCTGGGCTTGGATTTGCCACGGTCGACTTCTGATTCTTCATCTGATTTAACCCAGCGGCCGTCCTGCAAAGTCCAGCTGAGAGACGGCAATGGGGTGGGGTGTGGGGGATGGAACAAATGGGGTGCGCTTTGACATGCAGAGCTCTCCTTCTGGCTGTATATGTCAATTTCATCAGCATCGCATATGACTCGGTTTGGCTTCTCCTGCTTGATGGCCTCAAGCAACGCTCAGTGTGGAAATCACTCAAACCCTCAATCTCTGTCATCGCCCTTCTTTCAAGAGCTTGCAAGACAGGATGAGCGAAATTCGGCTTGAGCGCGGGGCCTTCTTCAAATATGCCTGCCAACATTGAAGCTAAGACGCACAGCATCCTCCAAGTTCAAGTTCACACAAAAAGTGATCAAAATGCATTCAACAAATACATGGCAGGGGTGCTATGTTTTGCGGCACTGGGTCGATTGGAAAAGCATTGCCAGTGGGCTGGAAGCCGCCACTGCCCTGCAAGGTCAGGGAGCCAGGGCAAGGAAAAGAAACACAACATCTCCATTGAATATTGAAGGTGGGCGACAATTTGAGAGCTCTTCTGAGAAGGAAGTCGACAGCTGTTTTCAGAACGTGAATGCAGGGCAGGCAAAACTGCTCACAGCTGCTGGTAAGGTCCAGGCAGGGCTTCCCAGCTGACAGACCCACACTGCTGGGGGTCGTTGCGGGGCGGCACTGCCTTGTGGGCGACAACCCTATTGGTTGCAGGCAGCACTGCTCTTGCAACTGACAATCCATGCATTGAATGAAAAAACGGACATATCCCACCCCAAAAGAGCGGACAAAACACCCGACCGACAAAACGCAGTGCAAAACCAGTGCAAGGGTCTGGTCTCAGCTTTTGGAGGGGAGCATTTGTTTTTTCCCCGGCTCAAATGAGAAGAGCTCCAAGTCGGCTTGCCCCCGGCCGTCCTGATGGAAAGATGCTCTTGAGCTTGTCGGCAATCTTGAGGCGCATGTGGTAGGAAGACGGAATGACTGCCCACTCACAGGACGTGTTTGTGAAGATGTCGGGCAAATCGAAGGTGATGGCATCCTCCTTAATTATACCCCCGACATTCTCCTCCGCTATCATCCTCGCACCCTTGTCTGTCTTGACATTTCGCACGGGCGAAAAGCCTTGTTTCGCTATGTTCTCGAGGTGCGCCCTCGCCTCCGGATCTTCCACACAGGATGGTAAGCCAGGGCAGTCCACAACTGCAAATGGGTTGAAGTTATCCTTCTTCTCTACGAGGCTATCCAAAGCCTGCTTGGTGGTGTAGATGTCACCGCCAAAATAGGTGTAAAATATATTTGCCAAGTTTTCATCCATGCCCCAGTCATGTTGCAGCATCTTCAGCATGTCGTACTTTGGCACCTCGCCAATCACAATCACCCTGCCAATGTCCCTGAGGTCCAATCCTGTTGCCTGCAGGCGGAAAGGGTAGGCAAATTCTGAGGAAATAAGCAGTACGCTTGTCAGCTTGCCTTGTTTTGTCCAAGCTGTGATGGCTGCCAAGGCAGACTTGGCTTCGCCCCTCTCTCCTCCATCCTGTCCGTTTGTCAACCCGGGCAGACCCAGGTTGGCCTCATCCACAACGATGGCGCTTCTCTTCGAAGAAGCTCTCACCCTACTCAGAAAAGCATCGATTGCCGACCGAACTTTTCTCCTGCTGGTTGCAATGCCAGCCATGTCTTTGATGAAGGCGCCCACCGGACTCGCTGCCGGGCCAAGACCCTCAATTGTGAGCACAGCAGCGGATATGATGCCCAACCAAGATGAAACGTATTGACCGACATCGTTGTCACCAGTTCTCTCCTTCAATGTCTTGTTGGCAGTCAAGAGAATGGCATTCAACAGACTCGTACCTGGCATGTCTCGCATATCTGCTGAGACCACCACTACGTTGGAGCTGCATGCTCGTAGTGCGGCCTGTTTGAGGAACGTTTTTCCCAGATTTTTGCCCCCCAACACCAGTGTGAGCAATCCTGTGCTTTCCATCGACTGGACCAGGGCCTTCACGGCTTCATCTCTATCAACCACTTGGCTTGAATTCATGTGCTGACCAGCACGCGTCTTTGTTTCTGCGATGTAGGCCTCAACATCTGTCTTGTTGTTGCCAGCCGCTTTCTGAGCAGCTCCCCAGAAATTGCTGCCACTTTTTGTTTCACCAGCCGCAGCACGGACAGGACAACGCGGCATTGGGCGGGTTTCTGTCCGTGGTGCCACAAAGCACCACCCAAGAATACTCGCACAAAGTGCACACGCCAATGTGCCGCGCCGATGGCGTTCTCGCAACATCGCGTATCGTGAACAAACTTGTTGTGGAACGACTGGGCGGGGACAATGAGCCTTCATGTGTCGCATGCACATCTTTGGTTCACTCTTATGGTTCATGAAGGCGGCACATCACAGGGATAAACATTGTGCTCAGTTCTTTCGTATCTGCGCATCCAGATTTGCGTTCTCTCGATCTTGAAGCTGATTTTCAACCATGCACATGCCCGCAACCCAAGCACATGCCACCACACGCAACACGCTGCGCATTCAGATCAAAACCGCCTAGGACCTGAACGTCAAAATCGAGCGCATTAACAAACAAAACCTCAATTGATGTTAAATAATGTGGGCATGGGTCTAACACTTCAAGTCACGCAGAGTCACACGAGGCAACGAAACGTGCTCGTTGCTTTTTGCACGAGGTGAAACAATGCGTGCACGTTGCGTGCCTGCTTGGCCTCAGCCGAGAATAAGAGACCAAAACGAAATCAGGCCCGCAAAGACGCAAATTCACAAGTAAATTCACGATGCTGCGCCGCCAAGGGAGGCAGCTGCTACGCCGACGCAACTCCAGCTGAGCACGAAGCCATAAGCAACGTGAGAAGTGCGCCCGTTGGCTTTCACTCTCCCTGAAACTGATTAGGTTTTGAAACCAAGCTGTAATGCATCCAACTAGAAAGCAACAATCCCATCCAAGGCCCAAGTACAACAAATGATGTGTAGGGCATTAGTCTGCCAGCGCCAATCGTTCTTCCAGCGCATGGATTTTGGGGGAAATCTACTGTTTGTTTGAAAAGAACATGATCGGTCAGCTTTGCTTGCAGCTTTGCATTCAAGAGCATGTTTGCTTACAAGCGCCATGAAACAACATGCAAATGCAAGACCAAAAGCGTCTGATGCCAATGGCTTAGAAAGAGTTGGTAAGGGCGCTGTTTTGGCAGGCTTCGTTCCTTGACCCAACGCACAGTCCTGACACTGCAAAAGGATTGTAGTGCCCTGGCTGCGTTCTTCTCAGCAGTTTCCGCCTTCTGCATTGCCTTGACTGCCTCTTCTTGTGCCTTGCTTGCCTCTTCTTGTGCCTTGCTTGCCGTTTCCAATGCTGCAGGCAGGGCAGCCTCTGCTTGAAAGTAGACAACGTGCAGCATCTTGTTCTTGAGCAAGCCCAACACATTTTGAAGGCCAAGTCGATCAGCCAGCGATTCTGTATCGACTTGCAATGCTGCTCGGTTGAAACCGATCGCAAAGCCTGTGGTATCCGGCTGAAGCTCAACTGGCTCCAATTGTCTTGCATCGTCACGTGCTCAGAATCCCTTGCGCGCAACAAGACAGCTCTGGATCTCAATCTGATAAAGCTTCATTGCAACGTAGCGGCTGTCGGAACAGATTTCCACAAGCACTCTCTGAACGTTTGCGCACGTAGCACTGACCTTGACTGTGCTCAGCCTCTCGACCTTTGCAGCAAAGTTCTCGAAAGAACCATTGTAGACTGTGTCGACTTCTGCTTCCTCCTCCCCGACACCCCTTGATCTCATTCCGTCCCCAATGTGGTCGGAGACTGTTTCGCGCAGAAAGCGCGCAACAGCTTCCTTGCATGTCTTCAAACGATGTTGTTCCTATGCAACCAGCGCTGGCTCGATGCCTCACTAAGCTCGCAGGATGCGAAAAGGGTCAATCTGCTTGCGTTAGTGGACAAGTCTGAAGATTGGGCCGGTGCGCCGTTGCGGTCCTTGCATCACAGCACCAGCAGGAACATTCGCAAAGAGGGACTTCACTTTCCTTCCGACCGGGAACTCCTCGCGAAGACTCGTGGGCGGCGGACAGGGACTCCTGAAGCCCGAACGAGTCAGCTGCCAACCCCTCAACGTTCCCAAGACCCAGGCCGTGCTCGGCCACTGCAATGAGCAACGCCAGCGCATTCCCAGGCTGAGGCACGCACCTTGCAAAACCACACAACAAACAGCGCAGCATATCAGCTTGCGGGCCTTGGCTTTTTATCCTGGCCCTCATCACAGCCATGGCCATTCCTGAACTTTACGGGCCTGCAAGGCCAATCCTACCGCTGGATACGTCGGCAATGTTTGCCCAGTGCCTTCAAGCATTTGATGAGCACTCTTGGGCGGCGGACGACTTCTTGCGTGCCAACATGTCCTTGCCGCTTCGTGTTATGTTGGTCCGCGTGGTCACGACCCTACGCGGCTTGTTTACTAGCACTCTGGTTGCCGCTGGCGCTGCTGGAGCCGTCAAAGACGCCACCTTGCCGATGCCCTTGCACTGGACTGACACTCAAAGCTCCTTTCGCTCCCCGAATGCCCCAAATTGCCTGTACAGTCACAAAGATCAACTATGCTATCTCACCGCCGGGGGTCAAAAGGTAAGGGTCTGCCAATACACTTCAAGAGCATTGTGAACTTCGCATGGAGGCGGACACTGCTGATTTTTACATGGCTGGCATCCTTCATGGAAGAAGAGCGTGTCCCCGGCCTCGGCGCTGTTGTCCTGGCGGCAGCCGGCAAAAGATGCGAACTGGCTTCGGGTCGGAGGAGTCCTCTTGCGCAGCCCCGGCGCGCCGAGCGACTCCGGCATGCAACGGGTGCCGTTTTGCCACCTGAAAGAGCCAAAGTGCAATCTGCTTGCGCCTGCGGGCAACTCTGAGAACTGGGCCAATATGCTGTCCTGGCACTCAGCACGAAACAAGAACATGCAAAGGAGGGACTTCATGCTCCTTCAGCCCAGGAACTCCTCGAGCAAAGTCCTGGGCGGCGGCGACAAGGGACTCCTGAAAACCTTCGAAAAAAATGTGTCCCAAGACCCAGGCCGTGCTCGGGTGCACGAGCAGCGCCAATGCAATCCCGAGAGGGCAGAGGCACATACCTGGCCGCTGCCTACCGCGGGCACGGTAGCGTCACAAGCTTGCCAGCCTCGGCTTTTGGTCCTGGTCCGCATCATCGCCATGGCTATTCGAAAAGCGCTTGAGCGGCCTGCGATTCCTCAAGCACTGGCACCAGACCCATCGGGCAACCATTGCGAGCTGTTGTTGTGTCAGTGCTGATGAGTACCCTCGAGCCAAGTTTCCAGAGCAAACACAAGATTGACTGGCTTCTTTGGCAACACCAACGCACGGGTTTAAATGCTCCTCCTCCTTTTCACTCGCGGCCTGAAGGTCGGTCGGGCCAAGCCTTGCAAGGCTTCGCAGCGTCCATCCGTCAGACTGGCTGACCCACATCCTGCCGCTGCATCAAAGTCCAAGCGAGATACCAAACTGGCCTGCCTGCAAAACAAGCAGCCGAAATCGGCACCGGGCCGCCAGGGGCTGAAGGGCGGGGGTTTCTGGGGTCCCTGGTCCCTGGGATCACTGGGGCCTCTGGGGTCCCTGGGTCTGTAGGGTCCCTACATTCCCCAGGGTCCCTAAGCTCCCTAAGGTCCCTAGGGTCCCTAGAGTCCCTGGAGTCCCTGCACACGTGTGCATCAGACGTCTCGCCAAGGCCCCAGAGTGCGCTCATCCCTGTCAACGCACGGCGGGTTCAGGGACCTTGGGGACCTTTAGGGAATTTAGGGACCTTAGAGACCTTTAGGGACCCTAGCAACCCTGCAAACCCTACCCTAGGGACCCTAGGGACTCCGAGGACTTCAGGGACCCAGCGACCCAGAGACTTCCAGAGATCCTTGGTGGCCACAAGGATTTTGGGGCTTGAAGGGATCTTGGCAAGAACTTCACGCCGGGTACCATTCAGCCTGGGCATTCTCCAGCATCATAGGGTCATGCAAAAACACAAAATGCCGAAGCCAAGACACACACACACACACACATTGCAAATGGGCCACAACACCACAACATCATCTCCCAACTACAAACTAGAAAACACCATGTAGAGACATACCAACATAAAGGCACAAAGACATAAAGATATAAAGATATAAAGAGAAAGATACAAAGATATAAAGATATGAATTTGTAGAAATACAAAGATATAAATATATGAAATTCATAAAGAGATACAAATACGTAGAGATATGAAGATATAAATGTATGGAAATAAATAGATTTGAGTACACGAAGATAAATAGATGTATGGAAAGTTGCTCGAATGGAAAAACAACAGAAGCTTTGCCCTTCCGCGCGTCTTTGTGTCCCCTTGCGTGGCAAGCTGCAACCAACCGAAGCTTGAGAGATGACTTCACACTTCACAGGATCTCTTGCCCCCAAGACCCAGGGTTGCTGGGGTCCCTAAGGTCCCTTGGGGTCCCTAAGGTCCCTTAGGGTCCCTAAGGCCCCTAGCGTCCGTAAAGGTTTCTGGCGTCCCTAAAATCCCTGAAAACGCCGTGTGTTGACAAGGATGGATGCACTTTGGGACCCTGGCCAGACGTCTTGATGGAAGGACGTTGCTTCATGGCACCTGCAGACGCACGCGTGCCCAGGGACCCAGGGACCCCAGGAACCACAAAGATCGCAGGGACCCTCGGGACGGACCGTCAGGGCTTCACTGGGTCAAAGCTCAAGGGGGCTGACAGATTGGTGACAAAGATCAAATGACAATAACCTGCACGGGACCTCTTGGCCATGACAATGGAGCGCGGCGAGGGCCCGGGCGGAAGCTCAAAAGTTCGCAGTGCCTGAGCGCCAGGAAAAAAAAAGGCGATTTTGAGGAAACCACGCTGCCTGACTTACAAAAAACCTGACAGTACGACTTGTTGGAGAAACAATACAAAATACGGGCCTGGCTCAACGAGGTCACGATTTCCAAAGATACACGGGCCTGACGGCGCGGCTTGACGGGGTTGGGAAAAGCACACAAAAAAGCAACGCGAGTCGCGCAAATCCTGGCACGGGACGGGGGGGGTGTCCGGGCCTCGCTAGGCCAAAGATCAGGGGGCCTGACAGATTGGCGAGTTCGGACCCAAACCTCGAAGATCAGTTGGCATTGATGGCCATGACAACGGAAGCAGCGAAGGTCCGGGCAGTATGCCTCGATGTCAAAACAAAGCCTGGCACGGGGCAGCGCGAAAACACGACCTTCAAAATCCAGGACCAAACCTGAAACACTGCTCAAAGGCCGAGTTGACACCAATCCGCACAGGTGCCCAGCCAAAGAGTCCCCAGTAGCACGAATTGGATCCACCTGCAAGCGGCCAACAAAAAGTGACAAAAAGGCAACTCCAAAGCGCGGCGCTGCGAGAAGATCTGCACGTCGAAGTCTGGGCACAGGGCACGTGAGGTCAAGAAAAACTGTGAGTCTGAAACCACGCCTTTGCACCCGTGAGCGGTTCCCTGCCGCCACAAGGCTCACGTGCTTGGGGAAGCTCTTTCCAAACACGACCGACAACGTGAAAATCGTGAGAAAAACGCAACACCGGCAACCTGTCATGCAAAATCACGCTCAAAAACCACGCAAAGCTGAATTTACGGAAAAACAAACAAAATGGTGTTTTTTTTCCGGAAATGGCGGCCCTCGAGCCGCGTGAGCCGAGGGCCGTCCCTTTGGTCGGACCATTTTGTTGTCCGCCCTTTCGAAAAAGGACCGGCAAGCAAGAGTCAAGATGACTACCATCGCCACTAGGGCAAGCAACGCGGCCTGGTGGAGGTCCGCAGGTGAACCCCGGCACGGGCGGGACTTTTGCCCCTTCTAAAACTGCGTTCTTTTTATCGTGGATGTCAGACGTAAGCGAGCGCGCCCGTAACTGACCCCGGCTGCGCTGATGAGCCTCAGCTTCTGCGAGCTCACCCAGGTGCTGATCTGCATGTGACGGCCTTGGATGAAGAGCGTGTCAAGGGCGCCGTGCGGCTTGTGGAGTTCGGCGTGTCAGCAAAGTCGTCGATGACTACAAGCACCTGGTACAGTTTCTTCATTTCCAACTTCTTGGACGCTTCCGTAATCTTGCGCTGCACTGGATGCGCCGCAAGGCGGACTCATCCCACTCGTCCCAGTAAGCCTGCTCACGCTCCGTTCACCCCCAGGTCCTGCTCGATGTACTTCTTGACGGGGATCCAGCCATCATCGATGTTGACGCTTGGGCTGAAAACGTAGATCCGCTCAAACACGCCCTTGTTCTGCTCGAGGATGAGACTGATGAGCGCCACAGTTTTAGCACTTATCATGCTTTTCAAGCCACAAAGCTCCGCAACAGAAACCACTTACAAGGCCAGAAACAGCACTTTAAGCCCGGGCAACTTAAACTTCCGAGTCGCACAGAATGCGACTAGGACCCGTTTTCCCTGCATATTAAAAAGCAAGCTAAAAACCCTTGCAGAAGTACAAGCAGAAGGGCTGTGGCCGCACCGCAAAACCACCAAATTTTCGCAAAATCCACATTTGCTGAATGACAACCTCTGAAGATGCGCTGTGAGCGGTTTTAGAATTCACAAATAACAGAGAGAGTCAGCGGGCCCCCAGCTCATCTGCAGGCACTTCTCGCCCAACTTGAGAGGACTTGGAGGCAGAGGTGGCTGCAGTCGCCAGCGCCCCGAGCCGGTGCCGTGGCAGTGGTGGAGCTTCTTCTCGGCGGTCTTAAAGAACGCGAGGCACCCTGCAGTGAGTGGCAGCCCTGTTCTCCAGCTCCTTCCGCCGTGTCATGCGTCTCCAGACAGTGGTCGGCCAGCTTGAAAAGGTCGTTCAGCAGGCGCTTGTCGCTGTCCCGCTCGTGGTGCGTGAGCCTGCTTCTCGGGTGGCACGTACTCTCTCTTTAGAGGGGGTTTCCCAAATGGTTTATATTCTACCTGAGAGGCTCCCAGCACTCGTCCGTCCAGCATTTGACCTCGTCCTGCGAAGGATTCGAAGTCTAAAACGCTGCGTACAGGCGTGTGGCTGCAAAATAGAGACCCCTAGATATGCTTGCAATTTGGCTCCAGGTTGCATTTCAAGCGAGCCAACCTTTGCAGGGCTAAGAAAAAACAAAAAAAAAAGAAAAAAGGGGTCCAAAAAAAAGGGGTCCCCGAAAAAAAGGGAAAAGGGGTTTCCTTTGGCAAAGCTTGACATCGCTTGAAATGCAACCTGGAGCCAAATTGCAGCGCATATCTAGGGGTCTCTATTTTGCAGCCACACGCCTGCACGCAGCGTTTTAGACTTCGAATCCTTCGCAGGACGAGGTCAAATGCTGGACGGACGAGTGCTAGGAGCCTCTCAGGTAGAATAGACCATTTGGGAAACCCCCTCTAAAGAGAGAGATACCGGGAATGCAGGGATTCCCTGCATTGAACTCCCCCCACGATTTGATTCAAAATTGCTCCATGGTTGACTCTTGTTGCCGCAGTATTGCAACAAAATTGCGCGCCACCTGCCTGGCATAGCCTCCCTGGCGCGCCACCTGCCCGGCATAGAAGCCCTGCCGAGCCCGCGCCAAGGGATTCCCAGAAAAAAATTCAAGGATTGCCTCCTTCAATCCTGTTGTCACCCCAGGATTGAGGGGAACTCCACGCGGAACTCCACGCGGAACTCCACGCGGGCAACTCCGAAAAAATGGGACATGCCTGTTTCCAGTTCCGAACTCCACGCGGGCAGCAACCAAAAAATGGTTGGTGCCTGTTTCCAGTTCCGAGGCACTTCGAAAGCACAAGTGCCGCTTGTGCTTTCGAGCATCACATTCCTGCCCGGCATCGGAGCCTCCCGGCCGCGCCACCTGCCCGGCATCGGAGCCCTGCCGAGCCCGCGCCAAGGTCGGGATTCTTCCACCGAGGTCGGGATTCCGACTTCGCTCTACACCGAGGTCGGTTTTCCGACTTCGCTTTAGCTTCCGATTTTGCCCGAAAAATCCTCCGGAAGCGATGCGATGGGGAGCAGGAAGCGATGCGATGGGGAGCGCATCGCTTCCGGAGTTGGGTTTCATCCCGAAAAACCCATCACCGGGCCAGCGCCGAAGGTCCGTCAGCGATGCTGTCCTCGCAGTATCGCTGACGGAGTGTTTTTTTTCACCACTTACACGCCCTGCCGTCAATCCTGCTGTGGCAACAGGATTGCTGCTGTGGCAACAGGATTGCTCCACCCAATCCTGCTGTGGCAACAGGATTGCTTCACCCAATCCTGCTGTGGCAACAGGATTGCCCCTTCAATCCTGCTGTGGCAACAGGATTGCTTCACCCAATCCTGCTGTGGCAACAGGATTGCCCCGGTGCACTACGAGCAGCTCGGGCTTGGAACTGTTCTTGCCCGAGCACAGGCTTGTGATGGAGTCGGCCCCGCTGTAGAGCTCCCGGGCCTCGGGCACGTCGTTGACGCTGACGACGAAGGGCAGGCCGCTCGCGAAGAGTGCGTCTCGCAGCTCCGTGTGAAAGACCAGGTCGTGGCCCCCTCTCGTACCGTAGTAGTTCATGCTGCGGCCGGGGACAATGTAAGGAGGGTCAGCGTAGATGCACTGGTGCGCCGGGCAGGGCAGCGCCCGCAGGTAGGCCAGCGCGTCCTGGTGCCGCACGGTCACATTGCACGGTGGCTGCAGACGCCGCACGCTGCTCAGTGCCAGCGGCCTCTGCTGTGCGAAGGAGCCCCACTTTCCCGAGAAGCTGTTGCGCAGCAGGACGTACGCGCAGGCGGCCCGGCGCCCGGCACGGCCTCTCTGAGCGCCCGGCAGGAGGTGCCCGAAGTAGAAGCGCCTGTCCACCCTGCGCCCCACCAGGCGCAGCAAGGAGCGCAGGAAGACCGGGTCTCGCCTCAAGTAGCAGCGGTGCAGGTTTGCGACGGGCTCGAAGGCGTCGACGCCGCGCACCTCCAGGCCCGGGCGCCGGGCGGCGAGGTAGTACTCCAGCTTTCCAGAACCGAAGAAGGGAGAGTGAAGCACGGCGACGTCCCCCAGCAGCCGGTCCATGTGAGGAGCTAACCACGCCTTACTTCCAAAGTACTTCAGCTGCATACCAGCCCTTTGGTTTTATCCCGGAAAACTCCGTCAGCGCGTCGGTACACAGTGACGCACTCCCGGGCTCGCCCCCGGGCAATCCGGACAAACTATGTCAGCGCCCTGCTGTGTAGCAGTGCGCTGACAGACTTGCCGCCCGGTTCCCTGCGTCGAATTTGGGAAGTAAAAACAAAGGTATGGGAAAGATCAAGCTTTTCCCCACGCCAGAATACAGCAGCAAACAGCCCTCGGACCCCGTGGCGCCACTGGTTCCGTGCACGGGCATTTTCCTCGGACCTTCCAAATCGGGGAAAACCGTGACTCTGATCAGCCTGATTCTGCAGGGGCGTCTTCGAAAGGATCTACATCTTTAGCCCGTCCATCGACATCGACGACGGCTGGATTCCCGTCAAGAAGTACATCGGACGTCCGGTCCGCCAACAACATGAATGACGCCACTCAGCCCCAGCACTTCACGCTGCGCACCGGCAGCAGCACTTCAGGCAGCCCCGCAAGCAGCCGCGCCTCCTCGCAGTCCGGCTTCCGCGTGCAGGCGCAGTCCAACAACCCGCCGCGCCCCTTCTCCTGGGGCCTGAACCCCGTGGCCCTGCCCCAGTCCCAGCCCAGCTCGCGGGCGAGCTCCAGTTCCGGGCAGTCACGCCGGAGCTTGCCTCCGCCCAGCTTTGACCAGCTGGCGCGAGACATTGAGGCTGCCTAATTTGCACGGTTTTGCGCTACAAAATGCTATTACTCTAGTCTGTACATCTATGTACGGACAGGAGTAATAGCTTTTGCACGGTTTTGCGTTACAAATCTTATTCTTCTCGTCCGTATATCTATATACGGACTACAAGAATAGCTTCTTTGCACGGTTTTGCGCCACAAAACGCTATTCTTACAGGCCGTACATCTATGTACGCCCTAGAAGAATAGTTTCCTTCGCCGTACGAGTCAAAATGCGTGTATATAAACAAGCATGGAGGTAGTCACCGCCGGAGCCCAGGATGAGCTGATGCAGAGCCTGGACTACAAGCTGAAAACAAGCAACACCAGCTACGTGACGGCGCGGCATGACGCGCAGTACTTCCCCAGCTTGCTGAGCTCCTTCTCCCCCACAACCTCGCGGGTCTGCCGCATCCCGCTGACCAGCGGCACGTCCTTCATCGACCCCGAGTCCATCAAGATCGCCTTCCGCGTCAGGAACACGGACGGCACCAACCCGCTGGCCCCGGCCACGCCCAACCCCGCCTGCTTCGTCCAGCGCGTCCAGGTCTTCGCCAACGGCCAGCGCTGCGACGACATCAACTACTACGGGCGCACCGTGGCCGTGCACGACCTGCTGAAGGGCAGAGAGTACAACCGCAACAAGGCCATGGAGGGTTTCGACGAAGTGAACGACCCGCGCATCGCCCGCGCGGTGCACCAGGGCGGCTACGCGGACGTGCTGCTGCGCCCCACCATGGTGGGCATCCTGCGCTGCGGGAAGATGCTGCCGCCGCAGCTGAACCTGGTGATAGAAATTGAGTTTGCGGACGCCACGACTGCGCTGTGGTCCGAGAACGCCGGGGCGCACCCGTCCGGGCCACGCTGAGCACCGACTTCGAGATCCAGAACGTCCGAGTTCTGGCCTCCCAGGTCGTCCTGGACTCTGCGCTGGTGGAGTCCTTCAACCGCGT